TATAATAAGCATATAAGAACTTTGTTGAAGCAACTTGTTAAGTAGAAAACTAAAATTTCAACAACAAACTATTCTGACATGTGCTTAACTGAACCATGCTCTCCAGATTAATATGGCCACTTATCAGATACAGAGGAAGTTGTAGTCAAAACTCCTTAGGAGACACCCGTATTGTGAAGGCTGCAGAATTGGATACTACTTCTTGAAATACTGTAATTGTTTGATATAATTGATAATCTATAATTACTATTTCTGAACTACACGTTACCGTATTTTTCCGTGTATAAGATGCTATTTTTTCCTGCAAACACCCTGTTCAAAAATCAGGTGCGTCTTATACAAGTGCAGCGTCTTATACACGGAAAAATAATGGTAACCTCCGCAGCGCAGGGCATGCCTGTGTGGGTTGCCATGCCGCCTGGTACATGTGTCAAGCCCTGTGAGCTTGCCACTAATGGGAGGGGGAAGGGGCAAGATCATCGGCGCTCAGCTGTTCGGTATGTAAATGGATTGATCTCAGTATTTACCAGTAGTACTTCACTATCTGATTATTTGAGCGGATCATCTACCCTGATGATTTCATTGTGTTGAGCAAATAAAACAACATCTTGAGTATTTTTTTTTCTGGCCCCCTATTCTCTCCTAAAATCTTAGAATGTAAGATATTTTTTGTCCATATAAATCTATATTTCTCATAATTTCATGGGTGATATATAAATATATACGTCTATTCTAAACTGAATTACTCAATTATAACAATATCAGGCTTTATTAAAGGCCTTAATATTGTTCTTAAAATTAGGACTTTGTACAGTAGGGCTTTCTTAGGTTCTATGTCAGAAAACCTCAGCCTTTTTGGACCATTGGGCACATTGGAATTTTGAGATCCTGTTAGAAATCCGCTCACAAAATCGTTGTGTGAGGTTGGTACAATCAATTGCAGAACATCCTATTACCAGAAGGAAAAAGAACAGAATCTATTGCTAGGAGTGCTCCACGGTATCCAAGGGACCTGAGAACATTCCTAAGCATATACTTATGTTTGATGTTACTGATTTGTTTCATGCATGCTAGCTAATTAAAATAAAATTAAAAAATAAAATCCAATACCGCAGAAAGCTTGGTGAGCATTAAAGAACATTGCCCCTAGGTGCCATGTTAGAGACCCTGCAGTTTGGTTAAATCCAATGGGTATATGACTTAGTTAGTAACAAAAATTAGTATAGCTAAATCTGCTTGGGGGGGCACTCAATAATCCCTCACACACACACCCCAAATGGTTTGCATGCAAAAATATCAATTGCTGGCATTTCCAGATAGGACTGATTAAGAAAGATTCTGCCTGAAACTCTGGGGAGGTCTGAACAGTCAAAGTTGAACATATAAGTTTAATGGACCAATGAGTTTTTTCAGTATTTAAAGGCAAGTGGATAAATAAGTACCACTGCAGTGAGAAGGTAACAGTGTTCTGTGTGCCTTGGCATATAGCGATCACAGAAGCCTCTTTGGACAACGCTGGCTCCCTTGGCTAAGAAATAGAAATTAGCACAACACCGTACATTCGAACACAACTATATAGGGGACACCTTTACCTTTATCTTTTTATTCATTAGTTGACATCATTAAATTCTAGCATAAGACCATGTAAATTCAAATATTAAGAAGATTATGCTAATTCTTTTGCAATCTTTTTCCCAATGGTTATGTGTTTCTTTAGATGTTCCATGAGCACAGAAGATGCGGCAAAACTCTATGACGTCTGCCCACATGTCAGTGATTCAGTATGTTTTTAGTCATTTTAATAAGTCTTAATTTGTAGAGATACATTTCAGCATATTCTTGAGGATTTGGTAGAGCATAGCATACAGGTAGTCCTTGACTTGCAACAACAATTGACCCCAAAATTTTGATTGCTAAGCAAGGCAGTTGTTAAGTGAGTTTTGCCCTATTTTACATCATCTTTTGCCACAGTTGTTAGGTGAAACATGCGGTCATTAAGCGAATCTGGCTTTTCCCATTGACTTTGCTGATTGGAAGCTGGCTGGGAAGTTTGGATGGTGATCACATGACCCCCGGACAGTGCAATTGTCATAAATTCCTCCCATTTGCCTGAATCTTGATCACATAGCAGTGGGGATACTGCAACAGTTGTAAGTGTGAAAACCGGTCATACGTTACTTTTTTTAGTATCTTTGTAACATCAAATTGTTGTAAGTTGAAGACTACCTATAGTTGAAAGCTTATTCAGCATTAGGAATTTGGGAAAGGAATGTAATGTGATAAAATACTGTGTTTTCCCAAAAGTAAGGCCTACACCAATAATATGCCCTAGCTTGATTTTGCGGGGTGGGCCTAATATAAGCCCTATCCCAAAAATAAGCCCTAGTTTTGGGGTGAGGCACACACCTAAAAATCAAGCTAGGGTGGGGAAAGGGAGTGTGGAGCTGCCCCACGTTCCCTGCACCCACGTACCTTGCAGCCAGGCCTTTCCTTGCCAGCCCACTTCTTTTGAGGCCTCTTCTGCAGCCAGGCCTGCATTTCTCAATCACAGGGCTTTCTGGAAGGCCGGTGCAGCCAAGAACCGAGCTATGGATTCAATCCATAGTTTGGCTGCTTAGGCCTTCTGGAAAGGCCTGAGTGCAAAATGCAGGCCCGAATGCAGCTGCAAAACTTCGGCCCCAGAAGAAGTGGACCGGCTGGGTGGGGCTGTTGGTGCTGGAGGTGAGGTAAGACCTACCCCGAAAATAAGACCTGGTGCCTCTTTTGGAGGCAAAAAAATAATAATAATAAGACCTGGTCTTATTTTGGGGGGAAACATGGTAGTTAAGCTTGGTTTTCCATCTGAGAATAGCAGCTTAGGACCAAACTGTTAGGTAGGTATTTGAAGCCAAAAATCATTCAACTGGATACAATCCTATTGTTCATGCACTTCAAAACCACTACCAGTTTTTATCCTGTCAAGATGTTTTTATTTAGTATATAATATAATATATTTTCTCTTGCCTAAAAGTAAATGGTTGGCAATTATTTTTGCTAGAAAAAATAAGGAAAAATAAAGTGCTTCATTGCAGTCATGCAGCAAAACCCGTCCCTTCTCAACAATATCCCCACTGTTGTATGTAGAAATAGATAAGTTGTTGCTCTCAGGTCCTATTTGTATGGGCTAATAGTTTCCTTTTTGTCTTCCTGAATGTTTGACCATGTGTGCCTAAGTAACAGTTGTTGCTAGCAGAAGTAAGGAAGTTCACTTACAGAATCTAATTTATCCCCAAAGACTCAAGAACTTATTTAGTACAGGTTAATAGAAGGCTTTTCTGTTATTGTGGTGAATGGAAATGACTTGTTTGTTTCCTTGTACTCCTGAAATCCTTGTACTTTAGCCAATCATAATTATGTATTTTTGTAGTTGTTTAGATTGACTAGAGCAGAAAGGAGAATTTATTAGGCACAGAAAGATGAACCCCAAGTTTTTAAGAATTTCCTCAATGATAAAATTAGGATAAAATGTGGGAAATTCATTCAACTAGAATAGACCGTGATTTAGTCATATCTGACTTGTACTTCTGTTTTTGCTTCATTTTTCAGGGCCTGTTTTTTGATGATTCATATGGCTTTTATCCTGGGCAAGTTCTCATTGGTCCTTCAAAAGTCTTCTCAAATGTGCAGTGGCTTTCAGGAGTGAAACCTGTACTCAGTACGAAGAGCAAATTCAGAGTTGTGGTAGAAGAGGTATGTTTCAGTGAGATAACCCTATTATGAAATATCGTTTGGATTTTCCCCAAAACAAAGCCTGGTGTGTAATCTTGAAATGTCTGTGTAAACTAAGAGAGGGAATAGCCTTCTGTTTTAGAAAACAATTCCATTTCAGTGTTTTCTTTTCTTGCTCAGTTCATAGGCTTAAATTCCTAATAGAAGAAGTCTATAATGTAGAAGTTATGTCCATTTGGAATATTAGATCGTTAGCATTTAATCAGAAAAATCCTCAGGAGGATGCCTCTTGGCAAGTAAAAGCAAAGGAATGTAGAAATAATCTTGAAGAAAATATGCAGGAACAGATAAGTTAAAATAAGAGATAATTCAGATCTGGGAAGAGTAGGGTCCTATAATGCAATTTTTGTGCTGTCTGTTTTCTGTTTTGGCTACCAGATTTTTTTTTAATATATTGTGCATCTCTTTAAGAAGCATAATTAATATTAGGATTATATCTGGTTTAGGGTTATTTGGATTTTCTGGGATATCGCAGAAAAAGATGGAAATCAAAAGGAAATTCAGAATTTGAGACAAAATGGCAGCTCAGAAAAGAAATCTTTATCAGAAATTGTTAATTTTGCAAACAGTTACAGAATACAAGGACATCTTAATAAAATATTTCTCTCACAATCTAATCTTTTCTTCCTTAGGTACAGGTAATAGAACTGAAAGTTACTTGGATCACTAAAAGCTTCTGTCCTGGGGGAACTGATAGTATAAGCCCACCACCATCTTTAATCACTCAAGAGAATTTATCTAGGTAAGAAACAGTTCATACCAGCTTCCGAAAAGGCCTGCTCTCAATAAATTGTTTAATAATGATAAAGTTGGAAGGGACCTTGGAGGTCATCTAGTCCAACCCCCTGCTCAGGCAGGAAACCCTATACCATTTCGGACAAATGGCTGTCCAGTCTCTTCTTAAAAACGTCCAGTGTTGGAGCATTCACCGCTTCTGGAGGCAGGTTGTTCCACTGGTTAATTGTTCTAACTGTCAGGAAGTTTCTCCTTAGTTCTAGGTTGCTTCTCTCTTTGGTTAGTTTCCACCCGTTGCTTCTTGTTCTGCCTTCAGGCGCCTTGGAAAATAGCTTGACTCCCTCTTCTTTGTGGCAGCCCCTGAGATATTGGAATATTGCTATCTTGTCCCCCCTCGTCCTTCTCTTCGTTAAACTAGACATACCCAATTCCAGCAACCGTTCCTTATATGTTTTAGCCTCCAGTCCCCTAAACATCTTTGTTGCTCTTCTCTGTACTCTTTCTAGAGTCTCAACATCTTTTTTACACCATGGTGACCAAAACTGGATGCAGTATTCCAAGTGTGGCCTTACCAAGGCATTGTAAAGTGGTATTAATACTTCACGTGATCTTGATTCTATCCCTCTGTTAATGCAGCCTAGCATTGTGTTGGCTTTTTTGGCAGCTGCAGCACACTGCTGGCTTTAATGTCTTTGAATTGATAAAAATAGAATAACCACTTACTTTCATAAAATCCATTGTTTTATAGTTTTCCCTTCTTGGATCTTATTGCTCTTACTCCACCTGCTTGCAAGGAGACTACAGGATTATAGTCAACTCATCAGTTAAAGCACCATGAGCTCATAGCCACAGGGGCCTCTGTAAGGGTTCGCTAAAGCCTCACTATCTTAAGCACATTTGAATTACAGTTACTTCAGAGATAAAAGATATCTTCAGAACATCAGTGTTTTTCTTTAAAAAATCTTCCAGTAAAACTTCATTCCAGATAAGAGTAAAATCACACGTTTGAGACATTTCAAACAAACTTTGAAGAATTGAGAAAGAAGTTTGCAGCCACAATAACAGCATCAATAACTGCCTATCTTAAAAAAAATCTCAAAGAGGAATTAAAAGACAAAAATAATTTTGAAGAATTTACAGGACAACTGAGTGAATAGTTAATTCAAAGTGAAGTTAAAGTGAAAATTTTGGGAAACAAAATCAGAGGGGAGACACAGATATTAAGTCAAGATGAACAATTTGTAGTTAATGGACTACTTACTGGATTTACAAGAAAAAGAAAAAATTACAGAACAAATTGGTAAAAATAGTAAGGAGAGGCCTGTAGAAGACTCAAAAAAATCTTTAGGACGGGCAAAAGAAGATATAAATGGAGACCAAGTCTTACAACAATATTTCAAAATCAATGGAAGAATTAACAATGTCAGAATACTATGCAAGAACAAATAATATAAAATTGATTAGTTTGATTAGGGATAAAATACAGGAAAGCCTTTATCGACTTTTTGTGGAAACTGGACAAAAGCAACTCTGATTTTTGGATTGGAGGATTGAAATGGGTTGGAATATGGGGAGAAGTGATATACGCTATGCAATTTCAAGGGAGAGGAAAGATACCAAGTTTGCTAATACCCACTTTAAACAAAATCAGAAATCACTTCCTTAAATATCTTTTTTCCCCTTTTCTCTTTCTTCTTTAATTTTCTGTTACTGGTTTTTTTATCTTTGAATAAAAATATTTTTTAAAAAATAAAAATATTGCCCAGAAAACTGCAAGGACTTATCCAGATTATAACCAGTCTGACTCAAAGCAAACAAACAAACAAACCAAACTTTGTCCTTCTGCTGCTTCATGCTAAAAACATACTATTGGTTTGGGGGGGGAGCTATCCACGGTAGTCTTGTGAATCATGATTTTTTTCTTGGTATATTTTACATCAATTAAACCAAAGCAAATGCATCATGTGATAATAAACTAATATACATGAAATAAACTAATATACATGAAAATGATATTAAGACATGCATAAATGTGAGTTGCTGGGCATGTCGATTTTGAAAAACTGCTTAATTCTGCTTCTTACAACCAAAGTTTATATCAGAAATGGACATTATATGACATTATATGACATCGGCTCACATCCAGCCTTCTGTTTGCCTGTCTCATCCTGAGCTGATTTTAAAATGGGCAGCTATATAAATATTTTAAATAAATAAATACATTTCTAGAAAGTGTTTATTTGGAGGGTAATTGTGCACTTTACTCAATATAGAAGCTATATCAGTAGCAATTCTGTACAGAGGTGGTCTGGGCTAACTGAGCTCTGAAGAATAAAGCATTCCAACCATGTAATTGTGTGGGGGGGGGGTGCACGCACACGCATGCAGGCACACCCGTATACCCCATGACCTGTTTCTGTACATGCCATAGGAATATGTTTTTCATTAGTAAATCTTTTTATTACTCAATTTACTCTAAATTTTTGTAAAATTAAAAAGTACTTATCTCTTTAAATCGTGATTTCCCAAATAGTGCATCACTGTGCATATGGTTGAAATAGTTTTAGACATTTAAGCCAATGCTGAAGAATCAAGAAAAAGATACCATCCAGCAGTAAGGTGACACTACTTCTGTTTTGCTTTTAATAGAGTAAAACGTCTGGGTTGTTTTGACCATGCTGAACGGCAACTTGGAGAAAGGTGTCTGTATGTATTTCCAGAGAAAGTGGAGCCAGCAAAAATCACGTGTGAATGTCCAGAGAGAAACTGTGTTCTGGGAGAAGGATCAGCTTCTAAGAAGGTATGTTCCCTGATATAAGTTAGCTAAGAATATTGAACTATTTCTGAGAAGTCTGCTTTATTCATTATTTCTAACTGTTCTTGTTTGTCTCTGTATATCCCCACTATTGCCAATTTCTGCTATGGTTAAGAAGATGGAATAATCTTTGGGGACTGCATTCCCTTTTTTAATTTTATTTCCCAGGACATGATATTTTAAGAAACACCCAAGCATAATATTAGTTGACTGCTTAACCATATTCAGACATCATTTAGTCTTGTAGGTTATGCAGACATGGGTTAGCATAAACTTTATTTATTAGTATTATTATATTTCCAATTTCCATTTCGGCAAGGGAATAAAAAAAAAATGAATGTTAAGTGATTCCAGAATTTTGAACTGAATTCCTATATCATTGGAAATTCATATGATAGTTGCTCATTCAGAGAAAATGTATAGTGTTCTGTTGTTTGAATTAATTGATAAATGGTGGAATTTGTTTTTATATGGTGACTTTTTAAATAGTTGAGACTCTTAAGTATTGATGTGTATCATATTTTTCACATAAAAAATGCTTGTTATTTACGCATACAGTAGTAGCACAGGTCTAGTGTTGATATATTTCAACAATTTTGTGTATTATTTCAGACAAAATTTGGATTAAAATCTAAATTTGAAATGCCGATTCATTCAGAATTTATGTTGTAAAGTGCTGTTTAAGTATTTCATAAATAACAAGCAATCTATTCTGCATGTTTACCATTTTTTAAATATTAGAATCTATATTTACTGTTATAAACACTATATTTAGTGTTATATGGTATCTTACTGTTTTACAATTATAGTTATATCGGATAAATGTATGCCCTTGATATTTCACAGCCAATATTTCCAATCACTGCAACTATTTCTTAATTTTATAGGCAGTTTTGGGACTAATCTAAAAATATAGTCAGATTTCAGTTGCACATCCTTTAATCTGGACCTGTTAAACCTCATTCACCAAAGAATACATAGCATTTTTCAAATGTGGTGGTGAAATCAAGCTTTGCTTTTTTTTAATTTAAAATAAATTACAAATACAAAAACACATCACCAACAGAGTAAAATGACAGGGAAAAAAGAAAGCCTAGATATGTCATAATGACATCAGTTAAAGCAGAGGTCCCCAACCTTTTGGGCACCAGAGACCGGTTCCGTGGAGAAAGGTTTTTCCGTAGACGGGAGGGGGCATGGTTTTGTGTGCTGCCTGCATCTCACAGATGGGGCTTTGCTTGTTTGTGCGGACCGGTTGCTGGCATGCTGCGGCCTAGCACCGGTCCACCGCCCGGGGACCCCTGAGTTAGAGTAACTGGAGATAAAAAGAGAGAAATTCTTTGAGGATGGGCTCCAGCACAAGTCCGAAATCTTGAAAGAATAAACCTTTGAGCAGTGACCGGTTCACATTATTCTAGGACACACATATTTGCTTTCGTTCGCAAAATAAACTAAATCTGGTATAACAAAAGAAATTGGAACAGAAAAAGAATCCATAGGATAACTATAGTTAACAATATAAAGTTAATCCAGTAATTTAACGTATCGTTAAATCTAGACCATATATCAACACATTGTGCTATTTCCTCATTTTTAGAACACAGAGACTTTTTAAAAAGAGTTAGCTAACTCATATCTTGAATGCATTCTTTAAAATCAGGAGAGTAGCTTTCTTTCCAAGGATGTAAAATTAACTTCTTTGCCATTGCCGGGGCTTGATGAAATGAGAAATTCCACATTTCAGGAATATAATTCAACAACATATTGAGATCCTTAAATATATTACTTCCTCCCCAAATTGCATTGATTAATTTAGTAATCTAAAACCAACAAGACTGTATCTGGAGAAGACCAAATTGTGTTATTTAAGGAATATTCAAATGAGTGCCAGCATTGGAAATCCAGTGACCATCCCTTTTAAATAATCTTTGAGGAGTCAAGATATATTTAAATATATATTTTACATTTCTTAGCTAAAGCTAAACCTTCCCATGCATGTTTAGAGATTTAAAAAGTGGAAGATTTTGTCAGGCTTCAAAACATGGCTAACCATCTATGCAAGGATTATAGGTCTAGCATTCTGCCTGAATGGTTTCAAGTAATAGTATTTTTTTTCTTCTTTCAATTAGCATTTTCTTCTGAGAAAAACATAACCGGGAAATCTATTTTTAATAGATTTTAGGGGTTACAATACAAATGAAACTGTGAATGAAATGTTTCCAAAACTGTGGAATAATTTTCTAAATGTATTTTATTTCTGTTAACAATCCTTTGCATTCAATAGTAATACCAAAATGATGGTGTTTAATATTGCAGATGGCCTGTCCTTGTTTCGTATCCAATGTAAAACCTGAAAAGGTACTGTAATATACACTTGTTGTCTGTCTGAAAACACCTTAATGTTCAATAAATTTCTAACTAAAATTCAGTTGCAAGTGTCTCAGTATAAATAAATAATGTTTTCTCCCTGGCAAAAGTTAATATTTTAAACTCTTCATTTTCTGAAATAAAAGTCAGTGGCAGGTTTTGAAATTTATTCATAATATTGTATTTGAATCTTCAGTACTTCTAAAGAATTTATCAGTGTAGCTTTTTAAAATGACTAGCAGGATATTATGAAATATAACCATTTTTAATAATGTTCTGCATACTTAACTATCACACTATTTCCTTGCAGTGTAAGCACCTGTTAGTGATAGTATATATGTATAACAGTATGAACATGTGTTTAAGACCATAGATACGACCCCCCCCCCCAAAAAAAAAGGATATATGTCTATGCAGTTTGCACTGGCACCATTCATTGTATCTCTATAATTTTCAAATCATCCTATCTTCCACCATATAAATATATTGAGTGATATACTATCTTTTATTCCTTATACCAATCTGCTATTTTAATATAACCGATATCAGTATGATGTAACTGAAAACCACATTTTTTTAAAAAATGGCTTAATTTCTTTAAGCGGTGGGAATTTTTTGTGTTCCCTGACCTGCACTGATTCCCTATAGGTAAGGAGACTACTGAAGAAACAAATAGTGAAGATCATGTCGTGTTCCCCAGACGTTCAGAATACCCTTGATCTCCCTGAAGGAGAATCTGCTGCAGCAGGTGACCAACAGCCTGAACATCTTAAAGCCAATTTGAAATGTGGAGCAGAGGACTCCTTCAGTGACACTATAGGCTTGCAGGACGTAAAAAGAGAGCACATTGATGAAACAAGGAAAGGCTTGTCCTGTGAAGCAGCTGGGCTCCAGTTGCAATCAGCCTTTGTCCTGAAACGGGATGATGGCTCCTCAGACTACAATCTGCAGTCTATAGAGCAGGATGCTGATGATGAAGCAGCCGATGACACAGATGACACCAGCTCTGTAACATCTTCTGCCAGCTCCACAGCCTCGTCTCAGAGCGGCAGTGGTGCAGGGCGTAAAAAAAGCATCCCGCTTTCTATTAAAAACCTCAAGAGGAAACATAAGAAAAAGAAAACCAAGGTTTCCCGGGAATTTAAGCCAGGTGACAGGTAAGACCAGAGCTTATACCATCCTACCTGTATATGTCATTAAGCTCTACCTGTCCTGATTTCTTGCTAAACATTGTACATAATTCAAAAAACATATAAATAGTAAAATGGGTGAGGGTGAGGGTGTAAGAAGACTTGTGTTGCCTGCAAACTACAGATACAGTTTTCCAGTTATATCTATTTAAGATATAGTTTGATATATCTTAAATAGGTATCCAATTAAAATGTATACCTTCCATAGGGAAGAAAGAGTTAAGCAAAGCATAAAAGCTTTTACCTAAAATAATCAGTTGACTCGGTGCTCATTTTGCACTAATCAAACTCCAGTATATTGACATTGATCTCATTGATCACCATCTATATAAATAAAAATGTAAATGTTCGTTTGTTCAAAATCTTAAATCTCCGAAAGTTCTTCACCGATTGCTTTGAAATTTTGACACAATGTTGCATTTGAATACGCGCGTGTTTCTATATACCTACTATTATATAGATGTCACATCTGTGACAGGTAAAAACATGCTTTTTTTGAAAAACAGCACCATCTGTTGGACGTAAAAGCAAACCAGACAACCTCTATATCTGCACAGACAATGGAACAACAAAAAATATTGTATACCCACAAGCATTGTGAAATTAAACATATTACCAACGTGCGCTTTCTCTTTTCTTTCTTTTCCATTTAACCCAGTGGTTCTCAACCTGTGGGTCGGGACCCCATTTGGGGTCAATCGACCATTTCACGGGGGTCGCCAAGCAAGGCTGTCTGCCATTTTTTTTGTCCGCCATTTTTTTCCCCTTTTCCGGCGGGTGCCTTACCTCCCTTGGGCTGGGCCAGCTGGTGGTCGGCCTACTCCGTCTCTGCCGCTTGCCAGCTACGCCTCGGCCGGCGCAGAGGCGGAACCACGCATGCGCAGCGCTCCCGGGCAGGGAAAGTCCTCAACTTACGACCGGTTGGGTAGTCCTCGACTTATGACCGGTTTAGTCCTCGACTTACGACCGGTTTAGTCCTTGACTTACGACCGGTTTAGTCCTCAACTTACGACCGGTTGGGGTCGCGGCATTAAAAAGGTTGAGAACCACTGATTTAACCAGACTGAGCCACAGCAACGCGTGGCCGGGTACAGCTAGTTATTAAAATAATAACCTTTTTGGAAAATCAAGGGAGTTTCTGAAAGGATAATTCTTGGTACCTGGCCCAGTTCAAAATGCTGGTCATTTCTTTTAAAGCATTACATACTGAAGCTTTGAATTTGTCCAGACTAGAAATAACAGAATAACAGAGTTGAATGGAATCTTGGAGGTCTTCTAGTCCAACCCCCCGCTTAAGCAGGAGACTCTATACAACTCTACCCTATAAATCTGGAGAGCCAGTTAAGAGTCTCTACCCCTTGTGAAGTACAGATGGTGTAGACGGCTGTTCTTTGGTAATCCCCATTTTTGTAATTCTCTGCCCCCCAAATTACATGTAACCCCAATCCTTCATGTATTTTGAAAGCAAGTGAGGCTTCTGTGGCTTGGCCTGAGCTGATGGTGAGCACCAAAATAGCATAGTGAAACACCACATATCAGTTTTGGAAGGATAATGTTGCTTTGTAATTTTTATATTTTCTCTTTACCATCCACTCTGGGGTTAGATAGAAATGAAATGATTCATTGATAATTTCAGGAAAACGGCAGCTCGGTAGTACAACCTTCCCTAATAAAGGCTAGGCCAGGGGTAGGCAACCTTGGCTCTTTTATGACTCGTGGACTTCAACTCCCAGAATTCCTGAGCCAGCATGGAATTCAAGCATGGCTGGCTCAGGAATTCTGGGAGTTGAAGTCCACGAGTCATAAAAGAGCCAAGGTTGCCTACCCCTGGGCTAGGCCTTTTGCTCCATTTTTAGCATAATCTGCATCATGGTGTTCTGGGAGCCCATTTAATCCCTACATTATGTTCAGCTGACCAGCTTTTGTAGCCAAATGTTTTTCTCTCAAAAGCTACTTTTGTATTAGATCCAGCTTTAAAGTCAATTCTTTATGATGTTTTAAAATGCCACAGTTGTTTTTTAAAAAAATATTTATCCTGACTTGCTGTGAGAATTTTCCTTAGTAATTTTCTATCCTTGTTGGAAACAGGGTTGCTGTAGAAGTGGTGACCACGATGACATCAGCAGATGTGATGTGGCAGGATGGCATGGTGGAGAAAAATATTCGTTCCAATGAGCTCTTTCCTGTCCATCATTTGGACAATAATGAGTTTTGCCCTGGGGATTTTGTAGTAGATAAAAGAGGTAATTGGTGAAATGCATTCCCTCTGGATAATGTGTTTATTATTAACAATTTAGACATGAATTTTTCAATCCAGATTTTCAAATTGCCAGTAGTATCTCATGCAACTTTTCTTATCCTGATGAAGCCTAGATGAGTTGGCATTCCAGGTTTGTAATATCATTCAGTCTGAATAATGTTGACTAGGAATTCTGGAAGTTGTAGTCCTAGTTTACATTATCTCTAAGGGTATCGTGTGTTCAGCTAACCATTAATTTATATAGTTTATTCTTTATTTCTTGCCTAACTCCATTTGCTTAGGTTTTAGAGTTGGGAATAAGAGGATGCTTTAATCTATCCACCTTAAGTGCAAGAACCATATGGTTCCTCCTTTATTAAAGAATTAATAAATTCTCCTGCCACTCTAGGTCAAAGAAAGGTGCCATCCAAAGATGCTGTCTAAGACATTATGAGAACAGTTGTTTTTATATAATTACCTGAATAATTTAAGTTTGGCATATTATAAAGTATATGTGTGTGTGTATCTTATGTATTAAACATATGTATTTTCCCTTCAGAACCAATTTTCCTAGAGTAAGTTTAAGCTAGACCAATTTTAAAAAATGAACAAAACATGTTAAAAACAAGTACATTGATTCAAATAATTAAAATTTGTCTGAGGTGAATTTTCATGTTTTTTCCTTGGCGCATCCATTATTTTAAAAGCCATGCTAGCAGATGGCTGCAGACAATACCTTGGAGGAACTTGGAAAACTGAGAAATCCCATGCTGCTTTCTGCTCATTATTGCATAGTGGAAATGTGAACCCATCCCTCTCTAAGCTTGAGCTGGGGCAGGCAGGGGCTCAGCCCTCACAGTTGCACTGGCTCTTAGGTTCAGTATAATGGAGCCATCAAGGACAGACACAATTATGGACAAGAACAAGTTTGGTTAGCTGTCAACTAAGGAAGGTTTTTCAATTTTTTTAATTCATCACCAGCAATAACGTGTAAGTCAAGAAAAAAAAATTAGTGAATACTTCTCAAAATAATGGGAGAAACAAAATTACAGTGCACTGTTTTCTCCTACTAGAGTCTGCTTCTTTCTTCAATCCTAAACAGCTCAGAGTTCTCAGGATCCTGGTATGTACGGAGTGGTGCAGTCAGGCGACCATGTTGGTCGCACCTGTGTGGTGAAATGGTTCAAGCTGAGACCGAGTGGAGATGATGTGGAGGTAGGAAGTAAAGGTTGTGGGGGTTTTTTGTTTTGTTTTGCTCTGCTCTGCTCTGCTTTGCTTTGCTTTCTTGTCTTGGCCTCTTCCAATAAAAGTTTGTTTTGCTAAATGGGTATAAAAAAAAATTTTTTTCTGAGAAGAATTTCATTCTGAGCTTCGAGGAAAAAGCAGAATGTGTACATAAATGTGCCCAGTATTCTACTAGCTCTGTCGATATTCAGTCTGTTTCCTAAGAGGATCTAGGATTAATTTTCACTGCTGAAATTAAGCTAAGCTAAGTTAAGATTTAACTACAAGAGCCTAACAAAAACTATCCAATTAGCAAAACATTTGGGGAAGAGTGTTATATTTTTGTCCAGGCTCGAAATGGCATAAAGTTAGCTGGGTGACCTTGAGCCAGACACTTTATCAGCCCTAGGAAGGAGGGAAGGGCAAACCTCTTCTGAAAAACCCAGCCAAGAAAACTGCAGTCCAGGCAGTCATCAGGACTTAAAACTGATTCAAAGGCATAATCATCATTATCAAAGTTTGTATTTAGACAATCTTAAATGTGCATAAAATTCAGTCTGGAAGAGAATACAGCTCTGAATTAATGTATGTAGATGATGCTTATAACACAGTATACTAATAGGTTCTCAGACAATACAAATCCGTGTAGAGAGCCCTACCAGACATCTTCAGAATCAATATTGAGCAGTAATGTGCTAGGATCAGTGTTTCTCAACCTTGACAATTTTAAGGCATGTGGACTTCAACTCCCAGAATTCCACAGCCAGCATTGCTGGCTGTGGAATTCTGGGAGTTGAAGTCCACATGCCTTAAAATTGTCAAGGTTGAGAAACACTGTGCTAGGTAAATATGTTACATGCAGTATGTCTGTGTTCAGCTGTTAAGTGCCTGAGGTCAAAAGCTTCCCTCTTGTTTTCTGATAGCTCAGTATAAACTATACATAAGCTTTATGTCCTTTTTGAGGGAATACATTTGGCAACTGGTATCCCCCCCCCCCCCCAAAAAAAGGAGGTGACTGGCACTGTCAAATGAGCTCTTTTCAATGCCACTCACATTCTGAGATGGCAGATTTAGGAGTGGTTAAAGACTCTTAAGTATTATGCAGGTCACTACATAACAGCAGCACATGAAAAAGGAACACAGGGTTGAATCATGAGATTTTGAACTTTTGAGACTCTGTGCGTGGACCGGTCTTTATCT